TCTATCTATCTATCTATCTATCTATCTATCTATCTATCTATCTATCTCTTGGTTTGAAACATGGTTTTGCTGTGCAGCCTTGACTGTCCTAGAACTCACTGTAGATCAAGCTGGCCTTGAACTCAGAGATTCACCTGCCTCCACCTCCTGAGTGCTGGGATTAGATCATGACCACCAGCTAAAAGTAATTTTGTTAATCAAATATTTCCATTGTCAAAATGGAGGAATCTTAGGTTTTTTTTTCCTTGTTTTTACTTGAAAGTATGATGATTCAGAGGTGAGAGCTATATAAAAAGTCTTCAAATCACAACCAACGTGAAAATATGAAGTCTGTTTCTCCTATCCAGTCTCATGAGTATACTTTCCTACATCCTCTGGAATTCCAAGAGGAATCTTGCCAACAAAATATATGATTAAAATATCTATTCTCTCAGAACTCCAATTCATTTTTTATTAATAGCTCTTTATATACTTTTCCAATTTAATTATGACAAATAACACTTGATATATTTATTAATGGGAATTTAGTGTTTTAAATAATTTCTTTAGTGAAAGTCTTATTTATGAAAACTGACAAGACATGTTTACTTGGCAGTTCTGGTGACTGGAGGTTTTATATTGTTTCTCACTAGCATTGTCACTCTTACTATGGGCTTCTTTAAAAGAAACTAAATTCTGTAAAGTTCTCCTCTGGATCTCTTCAGATCCATCATTTGCCAATTTATTCCAATTACCCGAAATTTAGTGGATTAAAGAATATTCACTATGTTTCTCAATCTCAGGTTTGAGAAAATCTTGAAAAGGTTAGAGCCTCTCTTCTTCACTGACATTTAGTTGAGAATAAAATGGGAGGCTAGAATCCCATGCAGCACTATTTCCAACATGTCTGCTTGCTCTGAATGTTGCTGTTGGATGCTGAGGAATTTGATATACAGTAGGGTGGTAGAACACCCATGTGAGAACGCCTACACTTTCCTTGTAGATTGAGGGAAGTGTTATTCTGCTTATACTTCCTATCCAGTCTCATGACTCTATGCTGTTTATTACAAAGGTAGTCAGGACAGGAACTCAAACAGGGCAGGGACTTGGAGGCAGGAGCTGGTGTGGAGGCCATGGAGGAGTGTTGCTTATTGAATTGCTCCTCATGGCTTGCTTGACCTGCTTTCTTATAGAACTCAAGACCATCAGCCCAGGGATGGATCTATCCACCATGGTCTGGATTGATCACTAATTGAGAAAATGCTCCACAGCTGGATCTCATAGAGACATTTCCTCAACTAAGACTCCTTCCTCTCTGATGACTCTAGCTTATGTCAAGTTGACACATTAAACCAGTCAGTTTAAAGAATGACAGGTTTTTAAACTACTATTTGAAATGTCCTCTGGTCAAAATTTATATAATTCTCACCCTTGAAAATTATGCCCATTGGTACTCAACCCTATCAAATAATCAGTTATTATGGATGAAGCAAACTGTAATTTACAAATTCAAAGACACTCCCTTGTCCACTGTGAGGGCTGTGTGGCTTGTTCACAGAGAGGGCAGGTCACATCTGTGGTGACTTAGGTAGGATGAAGGAACTCACTCCCTAAGGAAATGCTTCAGTTCATTTTGATCCCATCTCAGTTAACATTTCCTCTCAGAGGTGGTTCTTCTCCAACCTCCCTCTGTTGACTGTCTTGTAGCTTACGTGTAAAGGCCATTCCTTTCCCCATGGCTTTTGCATCATTTTTCTCCATTGGTCTTTATGACCTTCATGTCCGTCTTTCTAAAGTAGATATGGCTTTATATTATAGGTCCAGAGAATAACATATTTTCAAAATGATTTTAATTTAAATTATTCTTTCTTCATGTATTTCACTCATTCTGTTTTTTTTTCCAAAAATATCTAATTACATGGCAATAACATGAGAGTGATTCAGGGCTGAGTTTATAGGTCAGTAGTAGAGGACTTACCACCAATGGCCCAGAGCCTACTTTCATATACCATAGTACGCACATACCTAAGCCTGGATCCATTTTAATTTGTTTTCAATTCAGATCAAGTGTAGACATATAGTCTATAAATATTTTAAAGCTGTATTTTTTACATATTTAAATGTTCAGAATCATTGACCTGAAACTATAGGAATCAAACATATGCATGTATTGTTAGCACAATTTAAATACATATATTTAAAATCTTTTTCAGGTAAGAGACGAAAATCAGCAAAATTCTTATGACAAAATAGGAAACCATAATGTCTCATTCATAAAGCCACAGAAATCCACACTTTCAAACCTGCAGTCCAAACACCCAGAAGAAGTAAATCATCAAGCCTCATGTAAAGCAGAACCAAAACGCTATGAAGAGCCATATTCTGAAAGGATAGAAATAACAAAGCCATTACCTTATGACCAACTAAAGTAAGTTACATATATGTACATTATACATTATATAATATATATAAGTACATAAAATATGGAGAGAAAGAAAACTAATGTCAATAATTTGTGTCTGAAGAATAATTATCATTGAAAGACACTCATGAGATTTTATGACGTGAAATCAAGCTGGGGAATATAATTGTGGAAAACTAATGTTTAGATTGTAAAGATCAGAATACCCATGAGTTTTTAAATGAATTGTTTAGCTATTGTTTGCATATGATGCCAAAGCTCATGGGTCTAATAGCACTACTACTGCTACACCAGGGCCACACTCCAGCGCTTTGTTAGTTGACTTTCAACTGTGAGACTTGGTGTCCCCGCTAGAGGGTTTGTACAGAGGGTCTTCCTAAGGTTTTCTGAGCTGTGTGAAGTCATAAGGAGAAGGTTACCATGAAGGTAAAGATAAACCATAATTTAAAAGTGGCTAAAACAGTTCTATGTTCGTTGGGAAGGAAATGTGGAGACAGAATGGCTGGCCATGTCCATGGTGAGCTGGTGAGCGCGAGATGAGCTGTCTGAGAAGCTGATTCAGTTTGTTTTCGCTTGTATTAGTAAAAAAACAAAAAGGAGTTATCCCGGACATCATCTACACAGTTCCTTGGCAATTAAGTCTTTCTAATGACACCATCAAAAATCTTATAATAGGGCCATTTCAACAGTTTAACCTGCAAAACTACATACACATCAGTGACAGTCATTTCTCTACTTCTTGCTTTGTTTGATTTTCTTTTTAGTTTGGAATCCAGACATATAGTTCTTTCCAGTTCCACTTTAAATCACAACTGCACAACTTACGTACCAGACACAGCTACAATGTTTAGACATTGTTAGGTGGGAAAGTCATTTATGCCCTGCCACCCCCTCCCCCATTTTTAAGGAGTCTTTCAAGGGAAAATGAGACACTCTTATGTTTGCCTTTGGCATCTTCACAGGACTAAGGACAGGCAAGATGAGTCCTTGAGGAGGAACTTTGATAAAACTTCTAAGCCAAACTTGTGTACGACAACAAATCCTGCTCCAGGGTTTGGATCTGGACAACTCTACAACAATTTGGAACACAGTGGAAGTCTCATGCATAGAGAAGCCATGATGCCAAGCTCCAGGCCATATCATTTTGTGGAAAGTCTGGATAGCTACCTATGCAGGGTGAGCTGTGCTACGTCTTTTGATTATGTCTGTTTCATATGTCTGTTATAATTCTTGTTTTTAACTTGGTGATATAAATTATTCATTGTAAATTAATATCACAATTGCATATTAATATAGAAAGAAAATCAGTTTTACACATTTATAAATGCTCAGAGCTTTCACTTTCAGCAAATAACATTTTCTTAATTTGAGTCAGTAGATGTGACTACTAAAACATGCTGAACTTACTTTAAAGGCTATAAGGGAAACTAATTTTAGCATTTTTCTGTGGTCACAGGAAGACTTAAAAAGGAATTGGCTAAGCTCCTAGTTAACTTTGGTTTAGCTCAAGTTCAGAGTAATCTTAAGAGTATTCCCCCAACATCCCAAGCTTGACATCTAAACAATTACTCTTGCGTGAATGTTTCAAGTTTAAAGGAATCGGAGAGGAATGCTTTCTATGAAGGGTCTATACCTATAAAGTCAAAGAAAATTAAGAATATTCCCTTAATTTCTGTTTTATTTACCACATGTTGATTTCAGATTCGAGTCAGTGTAACCACTATTGTGCACTCGTTAATATCATGAAGGCGATTTTCTTAAGCTAGATATGATGTTTCAAAGTGCAGTTCATTAAGTTTGTGGACCTTGCCCTCAAAGGGTATTCAGAGCTAAGATTGCAGTTATATAAATCCCTTCACTCACTACTTCCTTAAAAACTTGAGTTGTATTTTTGCTAGCCACTCTCACGTGTGATCCCATGCTGTCTCCATGTCCTTGTCCTTTGCAGTTGAAATAGAAATATTTTTAATCTAAACATATGGAAAACGTTTTTTAAGATTACAATTTATTTCTTTTTTTCTTTTTCTTTCTTTTTTTTTTTTTCGAGACAGGGTTTCTCTGTATAGTCCTGGCTGTTCTGGAACTCACTCTGTAGACCAGGCTGGCCTCGAACTCAGAAATCCACCTGCCTCTGCCTCCCAAGTGCTGGGATTAAAGGCGTGCGCCACCACCGCCCGGCTATTTTTTTTCTTCTTTTTTTTAATTGGATATTTTATTTACATTTCAGATGTTATTCACTTTCCCCATTTCGCCCCACCCACCCACCCAGGAACCCCGTATCCCATCCCCCTTCCTCCTGCTTCTATGAGGATGTGTCCCCACCCACTCACTCACCCACTCCCACCTCCCCACCCTCGAATTCTCCCACACTGGGACATCCAGCCTTCATGGGACCAAGGACCTCCTCTCCCACCTGTGCCCAATAAGGCCATCCTCCTCTACACATACAGCTGGAGCCATGGGTCCCTCCCTATGTACTCCCAGGCTGGTGGTTTAGACCCTGGGAGCTCTGGTTGGTTGGTATTGTTGCTCTCCCCATGGGGCTGCAAACCCTTTCAGCTCCTTCAGTCCTCTAACTCCTCCATGAGTGAGCATGGGAGGTCTTTCCATTTTACCTAATTTTAGTGGGATTGCTTCAAGTTTCTCTCCATTTAGTTTGATGTTGGCTACTGGCTTGCTGTATATTGTTTTTACTATGTTTAGGTATGAGCCTTGAATCCCTAATCTTTCCAAGACTTTTACCATGAAGGGATGTTGAATTTTGTCAAATGCTTTCTCAGCATCTAGTGAGATTATCATATGGTTTTCTTCTTTGAGTTTGTTTATGAAGCGGATTACATTGATGAATTTCTACATATTGAACCATCCCTGCATTCCTGGGATAAAGCCTACTTGATCATGATGGATAATTGTTGGATTCCGTTTGCGAGAATTTTATTGAGTATTTTTGCATCGATATTCATAGGAGAGGTTGGTCTGAAGTTTTCTTTCTTTGTTCTGTCACTGTGTGGTTTAGGTATGAGTGTAATTGTGGCTTCATAGAATGAGTTGGGTAGTGTTCCTTCTGTTTCTATTTTGTGAAATTGTTTGAAGAGACTTTGGTACCTGGTAAAAAAATGTCCACTTCATCCAGATTTTCCAGTTTTGTTGAGTATAGGCTTTTGTAGTAGGGTCTGATGACTTTTTTTAATTTCTTCAGTTTCTGTTGTTATGCCTCCCTTTTTACTTCTGTTTTTATTAATTTTGATACTGTCTCTGTGCCCTCTAGTTAGTCTGGCTAAAGGTTTATCTATTTGTTGATTTTCTCAAAGAACGAGCTCCTGGTTTTGTTGATGTTTTGTATAGTTTTTTCTGTTTCTACTTGGTTGATTTCAGCCCTGAGTTTGATTATTTTCTGCCTTCTACTCCTCTTACGTGTATTTGCTTCTTTTTGCTCTAAAGCTTTCAGGTGTGCTGTCAACTTGCTAATGTATATTCTCTCCAGTTTCTTTTTGTAGGCAATTTTTTTTTCATCCTTTTACTCTGAGGTAGTGTCTATCTTTGTCACTGAGGTGAATTTCCTGTATGCAGCAAAATTCTGGGTCCTGTTTATGTATCCAATCTGTTAGTCTATGTCTTTTTACTGGGGAATTGAGTTCATTGATTTTAAGAGATATTAAGGAAAAATGATTGTTGCTTCCTGTTATTTTTGTTTTTAGAGGTAGAATTATGTTTGTGTAACTATCTTTTGGGTTTATTAGAAGATTACTTTCTTCCTTTTTCTAGGTTGTAGTTTCCCTCCTTATATTGGGGTTGTCCATCTATTATCCTTTGTAATTCTGGATTTGTAGGAAGATATTGTATAAATTTGTTTTTGTCATGGAATATCTCGCTTTCTCCATCTATAGTGATTGAACGTTTTGCTGGGTATAGTAGTCTGGGCTGGCATTTGTGTTCTCTTAGGGTCTGTATGATAGCAGTCTAGGATCTTCTGGATTTTATTGTCTCTGGTGAGAAGTCCGGTGTAATTCTTATAGGTCTGCCTTTATATGTTACTTGACCTTTTTCCCTTACTGCTTTTAGTATTTTTTTCTTTGTTTTGTGCATTTGATGTTTTGATTATTAAGAGGAATTCCTTTCCTGGTCTAGTCTATTTGGTGTTCTGTAGGCTTCTTGTATGTTCATGGGCATCTCTTTCTTTAGATTAGGAAAGTTTCTCTCTATAATTTTGTTGAAGATATTTACTGGCCCTTTAAGTTGGGAATCTTCACTCTCATCTATACCTATTATCCTTAGGTTTGGTCTTCTCACTGTGTCCTGGATTTCCTGGATGTTTTGGATTAGGAGCTTTTTGCATTTTGCATTTTCTTTGACAGTTGTGTCAATATTTTCCGTGGTATCTTCTGCACATGAGATTCTCTCTTCTATCTCTTGTATTCTGTTGGTGATGCTTGCATCTATGACTCCTGATCTCTTTCCTAGGTTTTCTATCTTCAGGGTAGTCTTCCTTTGAGATTTCTTTATTGTTTCTATTTCTGTTTTTAGATCCTGGATAGTTTTGTTTAATTCCTTCACTGTTTGGTTGTGTTTTCTTGTAATTCTTTAAGGGATTTTTGTGTTTCCTCTTTAAGAGCTTCTACCTGTTTACCTGTGTTCTCCTGTATTTCTTTAAGGGAGTTATTTATGCCCTCTTAAAGTACTCTATCATCCTCAAGAGAAGTGATTTTAATTCTGAATCCTGCTTTTCTGGTGTGATGGGGTGTCTAAGACTTGCTATGGTGGGAGAACTGGGTTCTGATGATGCCAGGTAACTTCGGTTTCTGTTGCTTATGTTCTTGTGCTTGCCTTTCACCATCTGGTTATCTCTACCTGCACTCACTGTCTCTGACTGAAGCCTGTCTTTCTAGTTATCTTGCTTGTGTCAGAACTCCTCAGAGTCCAGATGTCTCTGTGATCCTGTGATCCTGAGCTAATGGGTAGAAGAGCTCCTGGGACTCAGGCTGCCTCAAGGTTCCTGAAATCCTGCTGCTCTGGGTGCAGTGGTTCCTCTGCTGCTTTGAGTGCAGTGGTTCCTCTAGGATGGCTCAGGATATGATGTCTTCACGGAAGCAGACCAGCTAGGTGTCAGCCCCAGGCAAAAGGGTACAACTTATTTCTTTTTTAAAATTATTCGTGCTACAAACATTGATATAGTCATTTTAGGGGAATTTAACATTTCCTAGAATTTTTGGTTTGTTTTGATTTGTTCAAGACAGGATTTCTCTGTGTAGCACTGACTATCCTGGACCTTGCTCTGTAGACCAGGCTGGCCTCAAAATCAGAGACATCCACCTGCTTCTGTCTCCCAAGTGCTGGGATTAAAGGCATGTATAACTACCAGGATGTTACAGTTTTTTTTATTAAAGTTTCAGTAACCATTTGTGTATCAAAACCTGTTACAATGGTCACACAGCGCGTCCCTTGCAAAGTATTAAGAAAACAGTGCTTGACCCAATTTGAGATGACTATCTACTATTGGAACAATTTTTGAGCTAGAGTGATTTATAAAAGAAAGTATTTTTTAAAAAATAGAGTTACTTTTTTATTCTGTATATACTGTTATTAAAACAGCCATTTCAACCAGTAAAAATTGATCCTTATTTTTCAGGATCTTTTTGATCCCAGGAAATATCATAGACTCATATTAACTAGAGCCTCAGCTCGCTTTCTCCCATAACTGACATCTTTAAAGTCTAAAATTTCCTAACAAGTTTTGCAACTGAATATCATAAAAGGGGAAAATAAACACATGTACTAACACACCAATTAGATCCCAAGCAACTACATTTTTCCTCCATTGTTTTGGCAGCAGCTACAGGAGATGAGACCAGACAGTGGCTGGGCAGCATGAGGAAGCACACTAGTGTCCAGGGATTGCTGCTCATGCTCCGACCAGTTCATAATACCCTAGAAAAGAATTTCAGGATTAACCAGAGAGCTGGAGCAAAGCAAATGGATGCTTTTGTTAATTAAGCAGAAAGGCAAACATGTTTGAAGAGAGTAGGGTGGAACTGAGAAGGATGCGCTGAAGATCTTGCCCTATGATTGGGACTTTGTGCCTTACTGAATCTGCCACCAAGCTTAGCTCTTAGGGACAGCCAGTCCCTTTCTCTTCTCCTTTAAAAGTGTGGTTTAAATCACTCCTTCACATTTCACAAGTAAGTGAAAAGATGTGCTCAGTTAGTGAGAATGAGTCAAGTTCCTGTTAAAGCCTGCTTAAGGTTTTCCATGTCACAGAGTAACAAAGTTGAAGCTTCATTTGTGCCTCCAGCCTGTATTCCTGTCACTACTCAAAACAAACTTATTGTTGAAACCTTTGGTCAGAATCCAGGTGGCATAGTGTTTTAAATATTTTCCCAGAATTACAAATGACAGAAGTCATTATGTCATTTGTCATTATGGCAATAATAGTTTCTTCTTTTGTGTATTTAATGTTTTGAAAATTGGTCACAGAGCATATTAAATTATTAATTTTCTGAAGGTAAAATTGAATGTTTTAATTCATTAAAGTAAAATATCAGATTATATTTTCTTTGAGGGCATATTATAAAGTCATAAAGTGGTACATTTGGAATAAAGAGTTTGGTTGACTAATTGTTGTACCAAAATAATGAAGCCACATCCCCAATATGGTGGGCAAAAAGTAGGCAAATGTTAATTGCAGTTGTTACTCAAAGCAATCTTAGCAACATTCCACAACTAATCTATACCTTTAAGCATAATTTTTTTATCTGATCTGACTTGAATGACGTCTTTCAAATTATTCTCCAAGTAAAGGAGATCTCTAAAAGGATTTTTCAAAGATCACATTTTCCTTTGCCAATTTTATATGCTTTTAATTAACATGCAGAATATTAGGTGCCAATACAGCATTTCCAAGCACACCTTATCTCTTGTGACAACTCCCCCCCCACACCTTTCTACCTCTTGAACCTTCCCACCCACAATAATATAGGCCACATTTTCGGAGTATCATTCCTGTAATAATATCTTTTGTTTAACAGAAGTCTTATAAATATTATTTGAATTTTTGCAGACATGGCAGCAATTACATGACCACTGCTAGAGAAGACAAAGATGGTACGTTTCTGAAATGCACAAATTAAGCTTAATCAGTTCTAAAATAAGTTATCATAAATAATAAATGGCTTCAATTTCCTTTGATCTGCTGATACATTCTACATTAAATATTTTTGTTACACACATGAAATAAAAGATCTGAAAATGTGTATGCTTCTAATTATTCTTCATTTATTAATCTTTCCACTCCTCTTGGCTTATTATTTGTGTGTGTGTGGGGGGGGGGGAGTTATGCTATCACAGAAAAGGGAAAAGGGAGGACAAAACAGGCTTGGATTGCCCTGTCCTTCCCCACCCCTGTATTCATAGAAGAGCCACCAGCTCTTCTCCATTCTCTCTGAGCACTGTTCCCTCATACTGCGGGACTCCTGCTCAAGCAAAAAAAATACTGCAGTGGCTGAAGAAAGGCTCCTCAAGGAGGTGGCCTGCATGCGACTGGTGATGGAGACAGCGGCCACTCCTGGATGCATAATGCACAAATTATGTGGCATCCTGCAGATGCCAGGGAACCAACCAAATTGCTGAGCAGGCAAAGTCCAAAGAGGTGATAGCCCCAGAGGGAGAGGCAAGCATTTTCTCAGTTTCTGCCTGCCTAGTCCCTTCCCTGTACAGAAAGCCAGCGTAAACAAAGGACACCAGGCAAGGGAAGTGGCTGACCAGGGCCCCATTTGCGGCCCCTGTCCCTCTGGCAGGCTCTTAAGGGCAGGGTCATGGAGAAATCAGTACTAAAGGAGAAGCTGGATCAGGTGGATGCTGCCTGTGCCCTCGAACTTGTTCTGGGAAATTAAAGCACTCTGCGAACCTATGTGATGGGCATCCATGGGGTAAAGGGGAGACACTCTGCAACTAAAATAGGAAAAGATAGTTACACTCCACCCAAAACCCAACCCAAACCTCATAGAGTAAAAGTTATTCAGTGTCCCTTGGAAACAGTGGTTTTTATTGCCTGAATAAATAAATGCTATTAGAGAAATTGTACCTAGATTAAAGGTATTTTTAATGAAAGAGTGTGAGGATTGGGCTAATTGATGCTTTTGTATAGCCAAGTTAAAAAAAATTGGAATAGAGAAAATACAAAATTTTGCTTGGATTTAAATAATTAGACAGTATAAAAATAATTTTATTCTGGGTTGCTCCTACATCCCAGGGAAAAGTTTCTGTCCTTTCAAAGTTAAGAAGGTTCTTTTCTAGCATGGTTGCGAGGATTAGCAATTTTTTCCTGCTTTCTTAGCAAATAACAAGCAGTAAACTTGCATTATTAGAGTCACACTCTAATGTTTTGTTTAGTCTTAAAACAGTGCAAATCCCTATGATGAATTTAGATTTGAGATATCATAAGAACAAATAACATACTAGAAATATCTATTAGTCTCTTGTGGAAACAAGGGGTTAATATTTAAGAGTTATGTGTTCAGGATGTGATAAGCATGCCTTGCTGGTTGGCTTGATCATTTTTAAATTAAATATTGTTCTTAATAGTCATGCATGCACACCATGTGTTTGGATCAAACACAAGCCCCATTCCTTCCTATCCCCACCCCTCCCAAAAGACTTTTCCTCCACAACTTCATGTGCTTTTTCAGTCTTTAGTTTTCAATTTATTCCCACTGAGTCTATTTAGTGGTGCCTGTATGTTCTTGCATATGGGACCAGGATGGAGTACTGGTAGCCTTTCAGGGACTACACCCCTAAGGAAAACTTACTCTTCCTAGCCCAGTAGCCAGCCATGAACTACCAATACCTCTTCAGACAGGAGTGGGTCTTCTTGAGCCTCACCATGCATGCTGGAATTTTGGCTTGCTTGGGTTTTTGCAGATCTTGTGAATGTAGTCAGCAGCAGCCTCTGTGAATTCATGTTTGCAGTTGTACTTTTGTATCTTCCAAATGCTGTTTCACTGCAATCATCCACTACATCTGACTCTTCCAGCCTTTCCCCCTCCTCATCTATGATGCTTCCTGAGCCTCAGTGTCCCATGTAGAGATGAAGACTCCACAATCCCTTATTCCCTACATGTTGACCAGTCATGAGTCACTGTGTTAATTGCCATCCACTACAGAAAGAACCTTCTCTGATAAGGACTGAGAGATACACTAATTTAAGGGCTTGAAGGTAAGTAATAAGAAGGGTAGTTCACTACTATGCCCTGCCAGTCTACACTGGTCCATGGCCACCACTGCCCCAGAGACGATGGCATTTGGCTGGATGCAGTGGGTAACTAGGGGCCTAGGTCAGGGCTGTCGAGCAGGAAGTTGGCTGCAGTAGGCTCAAGCACCCATCTGGTTGGGCCAGGGCCAGGTCCAGATGGATTTTCAGGAGAAAATATCCTTCCCCAGAGTACTACAGCTCAATAAGACAGGCACTCTCAGATGATCTTTGGTGAAATAACTTGAATACACATTTTGAGGAGCCTTGGGATCTAAAGTCAGATGCTTGCTTTTGGCTTGGTCTGAGATGTTAGGGGTGCCTCTAACATGTGGAAAGACTTCAGGAGTTGTCCGTACATGGCTGATTGTCACAATGGGGTGTCATGGTCACATGTTCCAGGACAGGAACCTGGTCTGGAGTAGATTTAAACTTCTACCATTCTCAATTATGAGAATCGACAGGGTTCCTGAATCAGCTTGACCTTACCAGGTTTTCTGTCTGGTGGCCCAGTCCACTGTCCCACAATGTCCATTTGGCAGAATAACAGTAGTAATTTCTTCTGTGAAACTTGGGGCTTAACCAGCCATGGTTCTGGCTCAGTTAATTAGTACCAGGAATGATGTCCACATTATAAACTGGGCTTTAAGCACAATCAGAAAGGGATTTGCTCCCTTAACTCTTTTACCACCATTACAACAGTGGGCGTAAGTTGCCAGGCCATTTGTGTTACTCAAAGGTTTCACAGCTGGATGATACTGATAACCTTTCTCCTCCAGTAGCATACATAGAACCTTCTAGCACTATGAAATCAATAGAGACAAAGCTTTCAGGTTAATATCAACTGGACTTTTCCATATCCTGTGAGTATATGTCAGATATATGGTGTCTTCAGCAACAAAGTACCATCAAGTTCTGGAAAATAACCAATAGTGATGACAATAGCCTGTAGTAGTTTGGGGAGGGCCCATTTAACTCACTAACGACTCAAAAGCAAGTAAGCCATACCTGACAGTGGGCTTTCAGTTTGATGATCAATTATGTCTGGTGAGGCTTTTCTCCAACGCCCATTGTAAGGTAATTCCACGCAAACCCCTTGTGTATATGTATAAGAACATGTGTTACAAAGCTCCTGCAGTAGTAGGTTTCTATACCGATTTCAAAGCTCTTTAGTGTTAGTTGTTCCTCTTCAGCCCTGCCTTCCCACCCTCACCCCACTAATACAATCTATTTCATTATTTCATTCCCTCTCTTCACACCACCTGTGTTGGAACATCTTTCCTTTAAATACACCCCACGGTCTCTCAGTAGTTTCCTCCCTTCTATGCCTACTCCGAGTCAAACAGTCATCTCTAAAGAGCAGAGCTAGCATGAAGAACATGGGCTGGAGAGATGGGTCAGCTGTTGATGGCACTTACTGCTTGTGTGGTGGACTCAGAACCTATATGGTGGCTTAAAACCTGTAACTTCAGTTTAGGGTTGCCTGATAACTATTTCTGAGCCTCCTGGGGCCCCTATATGTGCTTAGTCATTCAGGCACACACATATACACATATACTTAAAAGAAATAAATACTAAGAGAAAACTCACCCAAAGAACCAAGCCCTTAAACACGAGCCTTTGGGGGCACATAAGAAGATCAGAGAACTTGTTATGTACTGGTTGATACCTGACTCAAGATGGCATTCATATGCTCCTCTAGTTATAAAAGCAGGGAAGTGAACTTTCCTTCACTGGCATGTTTTCCTGATTTGGAAAAAATAATATTGTGTTGGGGTCCATGGAACAGGCTTGTGATCACTGTTACTTGAGAAACCAAAGCCAAAGGACTGCAACTTCTAGACTTGCCTGCCTTACAGCCCGAGTTCAAGACCAGCATGAGCAACTTCATGAGACCCTCTCTCAAAGTAAAGAGAAAGAAATACCTGGAGATATCTGAGTGGTGAAGCACTGACTAACATGAACAAGAACCTAAGTTCAATTCCAGTGCCACCTAATGTGTTTGAATTACAGTAAAAACTTGTATGTGTTTGTGTGCGTTCGTGTCTCTGTGTGTGTGTGTGTGTGTGTGTCTGTGTCTGTGTCTGTGTCTATGTGTGTGTCTGTGTATGTCTGTGCCTATGTGTGTGTGATTAGCATGGAGAGTTAACAGGACTTATGAATTTTAGCAATGAGATGGGGCTTTGGTATGTGGTTTACTGTGGATGTCTGATTTTTGCTTGCCCCCTTTCCTGTGTTTGAGGAAATAGAGTTAAGTGTAATGGTGAGAATAGGACACTTAGCTGTGACTTGTTTCACCTAGTGACGTAGCATTTGGCACAGTGAGTGGCAAGGATAAATCTGTTTTTAGTGCCCGTACTGTAGTACCAGGGTGCTTTTACTGTCTCCTCTGAGCACGCCAGATTCCAGTCTCAGGTAAGACCAAGGTGTCTGCCATTGCTTAATGTTAGACATGATGGTAGTAAAGTCGTGACCCGCTAAGGCTTAGCAGTTTTTTGTCGCATATTTGTGCATGTTTTAGCATTTACATCCATAAAAGTATATTCATCCAAGGGCTTCTAGCCACTGCTGTCCTAGGTGAATTTTTCCTGTGTCTCTTGTCTATCTGAGGCAACCCTGTCCTTCTGTCTAACCAGTATTGCCCCACAATTTATCAGAGAGCTTCTCCAAGCCCCTCACACCTGGATTTGGTTTAGACTGGGTTGAAGTTTAGAACAGAAAGAGAACATTGTTTTTTCTGAAAGCCTCACATCAAAATACAGGGACCACAATTACCAGCTTCTTTATTGTGGTCTATAAGTGAGCACAAAAGCATCCTTTTTCAAGATGGATTTGAGTTTACA